TTCAAATAAGGTATTAAAAAGTATTGTAACTTCTTTGGTGTAGTTTCAGTTAACCTATCTACTCGTTCCCACTTTACTCGATTGACATTTATTCATTCTGGCCATTTAGGTTTACGAAACACTTAAACGAAACCTTCCGCTGATGACAGGAATTTATTATTCCCAAATACAAATTTGATCTTAAGCTTCCGTGATTTGAAGAAAGGGATCGCCACAACCTGCAACATCAATGCCATTCAGAGATATTTCGTGGTTAATTACTGTCTATTAAGCAAAATCGATTTTTAGAAACGGTTTGCTGAGGTACATTAGTGCACCCTCTAAAGAGCCCATGTAAACTGACAAAATTTGTACTTAACACCTTGGATTCTGTCGTGTACTTCTAGATTGGGAATGATACACAGAAACAGTAACATCTTGTTGTCTTCGCATTCCTGCTCAGTCTCACTCAATTAAGGCTAAAAAGCTTCCGAAAATCTCACATTGGATGTCCTCAGAAATACTAAATTCGCGAAATCCACTCACAAAGCAACTTTTTTCATGGCTTCGTGCTCCTCTTTTGAAAACACTGTCAATGGGCTTCTTTGAGAAATGCCTTGACATCGAGACTATTGCCAATATTTCCGATTGAACGATAAATTTTCGTTGTTGATGCTGAATAAAATGCTAGATCCGTCTTCCACGATCACTAAACCGAATTTTACACTGTTCTGCGTGACTGCAAGTCATTAAGCAGCATCTGGCTTCCTGGGGTCGTAAGCAGTAGGTCTCAGACTCTTGTCACGTTGCCACAGAATCATCTCGTGAAAAGTGCGACGTTACTGACGGCGACTGAATAATCTTTGCTTGAGTCCCAAGGGTGCAACTATAATATAGCAGTAACTTTGGCATAGCTTCCAGTTTGAGGCGATCTTCTTTGCTAACAATAATGTTACCTATCCCGAGCACGAACTAGACGATGGCTTCACGAGAAGGCAAATGGAATGTCCTTGCATGGGCCTGCTAGCAGTTGCATTCTATGCGTTCATGAAAGCATCACACGAGAATGCTTTAGGTCTGTTTGCGTCCACCTTATTTAGCAGTCATTATCCGAGTTTAGAAAAAGCGCCCAAATATTTCTATCATTTTGTTGACGATGCCTGTTTCGGGACAGGGTTAGCAACAAATCACTTTACCTTATTCCCTAGAGATGGAGTGAAATTACACGCAGCTGACTAGGATACAGCAGCTTCACGTCGGTTGTATCCTTCACAAAACACTAGTGTTTTAAAAAACATCACGCGTACAAATAGGACGGTAATTTATAAAAAAATCAGGACTTACTAGACCGGACTTAAATAAACATAGGTTGCTTGCAATTACACAGCAACTCCATCGATGGTGTATGTAAACGCCGTCAATGGGTTCCACGATTTGGCACTTGATAAGTAGTTATTACATTGCCTCTAAACTTGCCGTCCTTTATGGGATTAAAGTAAGTAGAAAAATGGAACTTCAGTGATGTGCACTTTCTATCTGACAAATAAAACATCCCACATGCGGTTGTGTGGTGATAATAAACCACTAGAACCAGAAACGGATTCTCAGAAGGAGGCTGCACAAACTGTTGGAGAGCTGGTTTGTTCACCAGTTCAACAGGTCATGGCGTGGTCTTGGAAACGCTCGCCGAGCGCAGGTAGGTCAAAGCCAGTGTTGGTTCATCCGTGTAAGAAATTGTGCCGATTTGTTGGTGGAGGTGCTCTGCCATCCCATTGACAGCAGTCATGCCATTCGTGGGAGTTAATTGACTTTTTTGTGAACTGATACAGCTTGCTGAAAATAGCTAGCACATTCAGGGGACGCAATAAATGGCCATGCACCTTATTATATCGAGAGACTTAGCTTTTGAGGAGCATCTAAGCCACAGACCAACCTGCCTTACCTATTACAGAATTCGCCTTACGTCATCAAATAAGATAGGCCGCCATACATAAGAAGAGATACCAACCTCGAAAGTGAGGAAGCGGAACTGACGGTGTCGGTGCAAATGTAATTGAAACAGGTGTTTGGTGTGTCCAACTTATCAAGGAGAGCTTTTTTTATATCTGTTGAAGGCCCCGACATGTGATATCAAATCACATCCGTGCCACCGGGTTGTAGTGGCCCGATTAAGCTGCACCGACAACCGGGAAAATCTCGAACAACTGAGAAGGCAAAGACATAATAGTTTATAGGATGGCTCAAATTAGTTGCATATCACGCCACTGTACATAAAAAAAATTGGCTGGCTACTGACACTTTGATCAATGCAGTCTAGGTGAACTAGTAGGCGTGTGAAACGAGTAGGGGTGGGGAGTTGCACGCACAGGGGTGTTTGAACAGACGATTGAGCACGATCGATGGGGTCGCTTTGAGAAGGTGAGGGCGGCCAATCTCAGCACGTGGTGGCGGGGGTAATAGACGTGCTACAGCACGATTCGCCGTCTTAGTAACTTGGCTACCTTGGTTGGCTGATACATTTGACTGAGCCTTACCCCACTAAAAATTCGAGAAACAACTTCCCATGATCATGTGATAGTGTCTGAAATTCCCGGATCAGACAGATCGTGCGTGGTTTAAAAGGCATGGCGCCGGAGGAGGGGAAAACATAAATGATCGTGAAAGATTATTCGTAGTCAATTCGTTACAAATCAGTTTACAGTATTTTTAAAGGTTATTATCATCGCTTGTTAATGTACTTTAGAGTAATCCAGCTGATTTACTACAGCAAGCAGTTGTGTGATGTCACCATCGTGCACGACATGCCTGAGGATAGAATGCTGAAAATCAACTCGACGGATCTCCCTGATAAATACCCCTTCACAGTCAATACAAGCAAACAAAATGCCTGAAAGAAATCCCTCTACTGACTCGAAAGGGCTTAATTAGATCGCTCACAAGTCACCAAGCATTTTTTGCAAGTATCAAAAACGATAATCCCCACAGAGCGCTTGGAACAATAAGCAAATTCACTAAAATGACACGTGGTGCCAGAAAGATGCAGGTTCGTAACTGATGGGTTTGTGGAGTTTTTGCAATATATCCGTAATATCCCGAATCGAAAGACGCACTTTTTTGTTTTGGAGCCAATAAAATCTAACTCAATCTCGTCCTGTTTCGTCCATGTGAGCTTGGATGTAAAAGTCACAATTGTATGACATTTGTACAACCTACGTCCCCATTCACCAAACCTATTAAAATATAAGAGTGAAGGCTATTTCGCGTGGAAGCCATTTAAAGAAAGTTGTTTCAAAGCATAATTCTAGCAGAGCTGGCAGCCTCACCTTCGCCTTTTACCGGCAACTCGACAACGTTCCTTTTCATATACAGTTGAAAATTTTGTGGAATGCACAATTCTCGGTACCGAAGACAAGTTAACAGGTGGAGAGAAATTTGTATTGCATTTTAAACCTAACATTGCATTCTTATTTGTTAGAGGTGTATCTCTGGTAGGTTCCGAAGAAATGTTCAAATAGCAGCGAGTGTAATGCGTCAGAGACCCGTTCTATTAGCCTAAAATAATGGAAGGCGATGACGATTATGATAACTCGACAGTAGTGATTTAGTTCCAAATGTTGCAGTTCATCAAGTCATACGGGAGGTCAATTCAAACAAATGTTGAGCTTACACGGGATAAGATGGTAAGAACAAGAAGTCTGCAGAAATAGATCAAAGGAAATACGCATGGTTGTCGTAAATTGAACACTACTGACGGTTTTAAGTGACACAAATTCGAAAGTTTATCCAAATTGTAGACTCTAGACGAAAGGTATCATCAATTCTTCCGAATTACTTTATCAAAGAATTAATCAGTGGAGAGATCGTTCAGACGCTAGAGACAGTGGCTATTCGAAACCCTCGTTACGCGTAATTCTGACGGTAGTTCGTATACGGAGGTGGTGCTTAAGAAACATCTCATTGATTGGTGTGAAATTGCCCGGACATTTACGTTCAACTTGCAGGCGAAGATGCACGTGGCAGACCACGTGGTTATCAAAATTGTGTCCTGAAAATTCACGGCGGAATTGAGCTTTAAAACGAGATGTTCGCTTAACGTAAACGCTTTACGTCTTTCGGAGAGCACTAAGACATTCTTGAATATAAATTGTGAATTTATGAGCTGTCAACTTGATAATGAACATAGTCCACGGTATATTGCTTTTAAAATAACTGACCACCTTATGGACTACCTGCTCTAGTGGATGGCTGCTTACCAAAACTCCTTTCACCTAATAATTTGCTTGTTTCTATGTTAAGCGCCTGCATGTACTTTAACGGTGCCTCTCCGTCGAGACTTCCACGTAACGATTTCATCGTGCAGCAATTGCTAGTCCGTATTCGAGGCGCACCACACAAAGTCGCTGCAGAATCCTGTTTACCGTTAATGCAAAGGGCAGAGACGATGACCGCCAGGGGCAAGTCCTGAGTCAAGGTACTTGAGGAGCTTGAGTACTCGGCTTGAGGTGAGACGGCATTAGGACTATCTAGGAGCCCCTCTTCCCTCAACTGGCGGGTCAATTCCCACCCATTTAGGAAGTATACGTAGTCAGAATTCGAGACGTAAACTATTGTTCCCGGTTCAGGGACACGACTGGACACGTTCCCGTGACAGGTCGATAATTCACAGGTAAACAGGGCTTGAGAGGACAATACATCGGAAATTTTATTTCATTTATATTTAAGAAAGAACACATGACACACGTACGGGCATGTGGGGTTAATAGGTAATTAAAAACCGAAAGGGTAACAGGGGGTCAAGGGGGCAGCAGTTTTGTTACATCAAGGGAAGAGACAGGATAAGTGCAAACGGAGAAGGTCGTAATGCTTAGACAGCGATTGTGGCAACAGAAGGCCGGTTTGAGCATGAACGTAATGAAATGAGGGGAGAGGCAGGTGGGAAATGCGATATAGTAAGGGGATTTGTGTAAGCGAATCAGAAATGGATGGCGATGCCTTCTCCGGCTTTTCATGCTTTAGGCTTCTTACAACGTCATCTCTTCCTTGTAAAGTCGGTTTATTTCATCTTTGAAGAATCGGCGGAAGGCAGCACGGAGTTTTTTGTGAGTCGGAGTTAACAGACCAGACTCAACAGTGAATTCATTCGGTGTAAGATAGATCGATTTAGCCTAAAATTTTGATACATAGCATGGGGTTGAATGCGTAAAACGATAAGTTGATGAACCGAAATGATTTCTAGGCGTCTTGAGAACCTTGACATGTGATCGACTAATGCCAATAATATTTACGTCAAAACTGACTTTTCGAAAATCTACCCATTTAGCCTTGAATACCTACCCCAGAAAGGGTTAGTCGGCAAGCAACGAGACGTAAGTGTAGAGGAATGCTGAAGAGAACTACTCGAAACAGAAAGACGCTGATTTATAAATTCATGTGCCAAAGAACCACAGACGTACCTGCTCAAATCCCTTCAGACCTGCTTCTTTGCCTATTCGATTTAAGTCTTTCAAGACGAAAAGACAGGTCTCCTTCTTGGCACATAACTGTTCGTCCGAAATGTCTTCATCATTAGACTTCTTGAAAGAACCATTCATTAGACCATTGGCAAAAGAGCCACCATAGTCAGGGAACATGGCTTGCCGCAAAGCCTTCATATTGGGCACACAGATTGCAATCGCAAACGACTCGCTCGAATTGCCATCAAGGAAAACCTGATTAACTAGGTTGCTCTGTGTGTAGACCATCTCGACACGTTCCGGAGAGACGTATTCACCCTGGGCCAGCTTGAACATGTTCTTGCAACGATCGACAAGTTTGAGACTGCCACGCTATAGAACAAATATTAAAAGAGTCAAATCAAACTGAAAAAGTGACAAAAAACATCAGCAGCAAACACAAAGGTGAATTGATCTCGAATATCGAAACGAACACAGCTTGGGTAGAAACTGAAGTAAGTGAGGTCGTGACATTCAAACCAAAGCAAACTGTGCTGTCATGCCAGTTTTTATTGAAAAAGACATGGACCAGCACTTTGCCAGACCACTCTGTAAAGTTGCGAACGGGGCTATCCCCTGCGGGCCCATTTCAAGTAGTCGAATTTATAGCATTGTAAAAATTAAAATTACGTTTAACATTTCATTGCAGATAAAGTGGCAGAGTTTACAAAATAGTGCCCACTGTTGTTGCTAAATGTGCGGAAATCAGGCTTTCAGTTACATTTAAAGTATTCTCGAGGCTACTGGATTGCGTATTGCCACATACCTCTCATAGGTGTGAATGTCATTTCTTCACCAATACATTTAAATGAATAAGCACCCAAACACGAAGGTGGTGCTTTAGTCGTTGTACCATAATCACAAAATATTCATTCAAGTGTGTTTGCCAATACATTAACGAAAAGCACTTTTGTGAATTTTACATGACTGAAATTGACAAATAGAACATGAACCATTTGCAAAGATACCACTTGAACTGATGAAAAAAAAAACGTTCGAAATTGACCAATATGACCGAACGGAAGCTACGATGATCTAAAACCTCGCGACTTCACTTAGCATGAATTTCGATCCCAATTGTATAAAATTGGTTTAAAAACCCTAGCAATAGCAACAACATATTAGTGATGGGCGAAGGGCCCACAAACACGAGCATAGGCATCTGAGATCTGTCGAACCCGAGGTTGCATTAAAATAAGACCCCTGTCACATAAGACAATGAGTGAGCAATTCTGGAATTGTTCAAACATCAAGTTCGCTGTGGGGGTAAAAAATGCTATTAGATTGCAAAAAATGCTCAAATGCACCCGAATAAGCAGTTAATGCAGTTACCGAGGTCCATTGACCAATATCCCCTGTGTGGAGCCAACCATCCGCGTCAATTACTTCAGCCGTTCTTTCTGGGTCCTTATAGTAACCCTTTGTGCAGCTGGGACCTTTCACACAAATCTGAAAGGCATAAGTACTGCTACAACAAGAAGTTCAATGATAAAACAGAGCAGAAAAGACCCCAACCCTACCTCACCAACTTTGTCGCGCGAGACGAAAACGTCCATGTCTGGTACATCAACCAGTTTAACCATGGAACATGGGAGTGGCGTGCCCGCGTGGCCGGCAATATAGTCGTCAGGTAGAGTCATGATCATTGCTCCACAGGTCTCGGTTAATCCGTAGGCCTCATAAGCCTGTAAAATGGGAAACTTGGTACAACAAGCTAAGAAAACCCAGGTCGATACTTAGATCTATACACTCAAGCTGAAATCAAAATAATGAGAGCCTTGTGAAACCACAAAAGCCCATTCACCGAGTAGCGTATTATAAGTTACATCAATCAACTAGAAGATCCTACATAATTCTCCACATGAGATCATGACTAAGAAAAAAATGTGTCAAGAAACACCTGATATTCGTCGAAAACACGCGAAATGAACTCATATGTACCACATAGTAGGTAATCAATCAATTTAGATATGGCCTAACCTAACAAAATCTAGTGTTTTCAGCGCAATTTGCAAGTCAGACAAAAAATAGACAGTGTTTCAGATGAGCTATTTGTTCTGGACGACCATTAACATGATGGATGCAAATTACTGAAGTAGTTGCACGCACATGAACACCGAGAGCTGCGCGACAGAATGAATAAACCTCCTCCGAAATGGGAGCGCTCCCACAAGCGAAAAAGCGCAGACGGCCACCCATTCTGTCCTGAATCCGCTTGAGGATAAATTTGTCCCAGAATGTATCTCGGGTTACGATACCTCTATAAACAAAAAAACGGAAATTTTATGGGCAAATAAAACAGGAATTACTACTCTACATTGAAAACAGTGCATCTGAATTTCGTGACCCTTCGCTCCGCCGAAATCCCCTAGAGTGGAACTTAAAATGATCAATCAGATTTCAAGGCACGCTAAACAGCACGGTAGAAGGGGCAGGTAGACTTACTCTCTAACATAACTTAATTTCGCATTGACCGCAGTCCTGAGAAGCCACTTTTTGAGAGCTGAGTTGGCGACAGCAGCCTGAACAGTGGCGTAAAGACGCTGGAGAACACGTGGTACGGCAACAAACAGCGTAGGCCGGAGGGCTAAAATATCGTCTGAGAGATTGCGGAGGTCACCGCCGAAGAAACCAACAGCCGAACCACGACACAAGGCGTAGTGCTACAAGTCAGGAGGAGGTCTAACAATACTGACAACCAGTGAGTAGCACATGGCATTTCACTGACACAAAGGCGTCCCGTTAATTGATTCGTTTGAGCCCAATCTCTGGAGTTGACACAACAACCATCTTGATTTCATCCACATAAGCCTTAAAGTTCACATAAGCCCTAAAGTTCACGTTCTCTACATACCCGTCGTGAAGTACGGGTATGTAGAGAAGTTAACCGTGCGTCACCTTAAATTGACAGGGTACGCTGATCTCGTTGACTCGCACAGTCACACATTTGTGGCTATGGATGATTTCCGAAAGAAATTTACAAAAAATAAAACAATAGAGCTAGTAGGACTCAAAATGCTTCATTACAGTACTGGCGTCACTACCTTGACAGTTATGACAAAGAATTATGGAGCCTCAGCAATTAAAAAAACAAAAAAAGTAAGGTTACTCCAACAGCTACATTAAAGTGCTCCACAATTTGCAAATCGAGCTTTATGGCATCATTAAATTTACAAGATTACCTGCCATGTTAGGTCACATTTATCATT